AATCTGTGCACATCTGAATGTAGAATCAAGCCTCCTGCCTTCTGAAATATAAATTCCAGATAAACAGATTAGAAAAATATGCAGATTATGAGTCACCTTGTAATGAGCAGCATTCTCACCTAGCTGTATTTAATTCCTGTCATGATACAAATGAATTTATGGCTACAGTCAGTCTGATGGCTCACAAATATCAGGGACCTCCTTACCAAAAGCTAAAGACTGTTTCCCAGATAGCAACTGCCTATAACCATTAAAGGGAGAGAGAGGGAAAAACAAAAAACTTACAGTGCATAATTCTTTATCCTTAGCAGGTGTCTACACCATATTTATCATCAAGTCTTTGCTTGCAAGAAAAACAGGTAATAATAACAACATTATTTTTTGAAACAGAGTTCTTCAAACTCAACAAGAAAGTGTCAAAATTAAAGCAGTAGTCAGAATGTCAGTTCTTAAGAGAGGAAAACAAGCAAGTATATTTAAAGAATCACTTCAAAGTTTAAAGTCCTCTTAAGGGAAGAAAATATTTCCCTATTTTCCCCAAGAAGCTTAGATGAGACCAGTTAGCTGTGTATAACTGCACTCAGAAAACTTTGAATCAATATTTAATATTACAACTTTAATTGAAAACCAACACCATAATAATAATAATAATAAGTGAGCAGCACTCTGAACTGCACAGAAAGCAAGTTCAGCAGCCAGGATGAAAGCCCCTCTACAGGAATTCCCAAGGGAAATCACAGAGGAAGTGTTTACCTCATTTAGAAAAGGGCACAAACGGTGAATCTTCCCTTATTCTCAAGAGACTCCATGGAAAACAATATATCTGACTAAAAGGAATGAGATTTGCATGATGTATTTGGACTCACGTTAACTCCTCTTGCAGTAGAGTGTATCAGCGCCTTTTCCAATTCTAAGGGAGCCACATATTGCATACAGAAAGCAAGTTTTACAACAACACGACTTAGGATAAAAACTGTAACAGAAAAATTTATTCTCCGCTACAATAAAAACGAGTCTGAAATAAAAAACAGGGCAGTGATTTACATCATCCTTTATTCTTTTCCTCAGCTGAAGTATAAAACTGACTCCCCATTAACCTCTCACTTCCTCAGCAGTTTTATGACTTTCTAAGTATAGAAATGCTTTTTCATTTTTAAGTATGTCAGTACGAAAGTATATGGGTTGCAGTTTCATCCAAAATTATGGCAGTTCACCTCTCCAAAAAGTTCCAGCAATTAGATTGAAAACGAGAGCCTCCAAGTAGCACTCGGGCAAGGAGTGACTTCTAAATTACAAGATGCAAGTGCTCAAACTGGTCCACTTTATGCTTGCTCCAAGTAAGGCACCCGAAGAACAGTTTCTGAGAGGATAAAAATGCACAGTTCTTGCAGCTGCAATCGCTCTGTCGGCCAGGCTGATCTATTTATATTTTAGTGAAATCAGCACCGAAATAACTGTTTTACAGACCGACAAAAACTCATGACTGTCCAAAGACTTCAATCCCCTCAAAAGAACGTCGCTACACGCTCCTGCGTCTGGCAACGTGCAAGCCCTGCCCAGCCAAGTCCCGCGGCGCCTCTCCCTGGGCTCCCCGCGGCAGCAGGGCTCGGGGGCAGGAGGGACGTGGGGAGCCGAGCGCTGGCCCGGGTGGGAGCAGCCGCTCAGCGCAGCCCCGAGGGACGCGGCCTCGGCGGTCCGGGGCTATTCACCGCCCGCTGCTCCGCTGGGCTCCCCGGAGCCTGTCTCCGTCTTGCTGCCGGCCTCCGGCGGTTCCTTGTTCCCCCGGCCCTCGGATTTCTTGTTAAAGCAGATTTTGAACACCCCCAGGACGGTCATGACCAGGATGATCAGCACCACCACCGCGACCGTCACCAGGATGAAAACGTAGTTGGAGGAGGAGGAGGGCGGCGGAGGAGCAGCCTTCTCTCCGCCGGCGGAGGCCGTGGTGGTGGCGGGCGGCTCCGTGGAACCGCCGGGTGTCGGGATGGAAGGATGCCGCCCCTCCGCCCTGG